GGGGTTTTGGGGGTTTAGGGGTTTGTTGTGGTGTTGGGGTTTCGAATTTGGCTAAACCCTACCTGTAGCCCGAAACTCTGCAAACCAGTGCAACCCTGAACCCGAAACTCTAAACCCTGAGAGCACTTGAACCCTATGTAACGCCTTCCTGAAGCCCTAACCTGAATGTTAGGAGGTTTTTGTATTTATGTAGGGTGCCTTTGAGTGCTCTATACGGGTTTGGGGTTAGGGAGCTTAGTTCAAGTCATCGTAATAAGGAGACCGTGTTGTTTACGATGGATCCCTTCCCTATTATGGTTGACTTACTTGGACTCCTTCACGAAAAGCCATTATCTCAACGCTTGATGCAGCCCTCGTTTGCCACGAAAGGGTGTGTAAATGGATCCTAATATTACGTCCAAAAAAGGGTACCGAAAACCCGACTTTAAACCCAAAGGCCTAAACCCTAAACCCCAAACCCTAAACACTACCCCGTGCCCTGCCATAGAAGCTTGAATAAGTAGGAATTTGGGTTTAGGGCTTAGGGTTTAGGGTTTAGGGTTTAGGGTTTAGGGGTTTGGGTTTTTAGGGTTTAGGGTTTGATTGGAGTTCCTTTTGATGTTGGATGCAGAATAATATACCCGCAACATCTATTCTGATTCTGCCAATTAAGCCCCTCTAATACCCTGAACCAGAAGCCCCAAAACCCTAACACCGCAAAAGGTGAAGACCCTAAACCCTAAACCCAGGAACCCCTAAACCCTAAGAGCCCAAAAGGTGATGGTTTTCATTGAGGGCGGTGGCTTCCTCGCGCCTCCGCTTTCGAGATGTTTGGGGTTTAAAGGATTTAGGGTTTAGGATTTTGGGTTTAGGGTTTAGAGTTCAGGGTTTAGGATTCAAGCTTTCGGGATAGAAAGCGGCTTCAGGGGGGTTTTCGGGTTCGGGGTTTTGGGCTTGGTGGGGCTTCTACGATTAGACAAAGGTGGCTTCCTGCCCACAGCTGTTCAATACTTCCTGTTGTCCGTCTACCCAGAGAACCCAATACCCCTCAATCAAGGAATATACCCTAAATTATAGGGGCCTTAATTTTCTGGTTTAAGGTATATCCCCTAATTCCCCTAAACCCCAAACCCTAAACCCCTAAAGATCCC